GAAAATCATTTTCAAATTCAATGTAGAATTTCTTCGTAATTGCTCTCATTCAGACACTAATGTCGTTCTCCAAAAATGTTATTACTAAAATCTTCTTCCAAAAGAATTAACACTTTTAAAAAGGCTGCTTTCACTCTATTAAATCCAATTTAATAGTTTTGTATCCATATTAAATATAAATGTTATTTTTTCAATGGCATGACAGGATATTTCGTCAATAAAGTCTCGAAGAATATATCCAAACGCTAGGCTTTTACAATGTTTAAGGGTGGCCTTTCACTAGCTAACGGGGAAGCCAATTGCACCAACGCAGCAGTCAGAATACATTTGTACGTTGTTTCTTACATAAGAACCAACAACTTTACTTAATATAAGGTTTAAACTAAAAGGTTTTGTTCTATACATATAAATCAAATAATCAGCACATTGCTTAAATTTAATTACTAAAATACGTACTTTCATTATGTTACTGACGCCGTAAATCGGTCTTCTTTAATAACAATAAAACAAAATAAAATGTTAGTTCAATATTTATATTCTATCAGGATTTTCTCAATATAGAGTTACATATTTAATATGTACGGATATACTTCATATGTACGGATACTGTTCCTTGTAAACACACGAAAACGCCCTTCGTTACTTTCAAGGCATCAGTGACGTCGAAAAACTCGCATATGCACTCATATTAATATATACGACAGAGGGAAAGTTAGGATTTAGCGGTAGCTAGCTGGAGCGCTTGTTTGGTGCAAGGTCGTTGACAGGGCAAGTCGCGTGAACCGAACAAATATCCTATCGGAACATGTAACTGTCATAAAGTTTCAAGGACGAAGATACAACCCAAATCGGATGTAATGACGGCACGAACATCCCTGCAGTATACGAGGCATCGACAAAATCGCGGTGTGTTCACAATGGGCCGCCGAATGCGGTGGGGGGCATTTATTATCTAAAATCGTTACTACAACCACCAAGAGAGAAAAAAGAATTATTAAAAGCAAGAGGTAATTAAGACAGATCAGGTTGATTAAAAATAAATTTATCGATTCGCATTTTTATGAAGGCAGGTAAATATGGAAGAAAGCCGAGCGGCAACTTGAAAAACCACTACTCCAAATTACGACCGATGCTTGGCGACAGGCTTATTGTTTCGATTGAAGCTAAAAAAGCTATCGAGGCTTTCTCATTTTAAATATTTTAAGGCAGCGGAACAAGCTTTTACTAAGGCTTTCTTACATCTTCTTAAACCACATCGCCACTTACCAGTATATGTCAGCAGTCGAGCAATGTTTTGAGAGTAATAAAAATATTCGAAAACCTTTACTTTAGCCCAACGGGAAAATTAAAAAAAAATTTTAATCAAAAAAGAGTACGGCCCACGAGTCTGTAGAGTTAGTTTGTTAAAATAAAAAAATCTTTACTTTAGAATCAAGTAAAGGAAGGAGTTGTCAGAGATATTTTTTGATTAAAGTTATAATTTTACGGTCTTACATAATATGCGACTAATTTTGACCTCCAATGAAAGTATTTCATTAGTGATCGAAGCAAATATTGCTAAATTATATCGAAACAAGAAAATCATAACATTAAATCTCAGTATGCGTCCGATTATAATCTACATTGGAAACATGAGTTTCTAACGATGTCGAATACGAAAGGAGACTGTTTCTAGAATAAAATAATTTTCAATCTGCGTGCGCGACTTTATCAATGTCGGATCATACCGTCTGGTGAATCGGTTCGGCGGCGGATTTGCATTCTATTATGTTTCACGTAGGACCGATGTACTGTCCGTACTATATACATCTCTATTGTACCACTGCAGTCGGATATTGTCGGGATCGATGAATAACGTAACGTAACGTGTCTGTCTGTTAAGTTTATTACCAAAATTTATTGTCGAAGGTTTTGCCTTACAAAACGGTAGGTCGTAGCGTTTTGGACTTAATTAGCGCGGTCAGACCCCTACCCCGTTAGAATGTTAGTGTCGGGTTACTAGTTACGGGTTACAAATGGTATTACTGTGTACATGTTGACATTTTTTTAATGTGAGAAGGTGGCTGGCAATAAACCTGATGTTAAGTGATAATCGCCGCCCTTAGACATTGGCAACACCCGTAGGGAACCAGATGGATATGTGTGTTACACAAATAGTTGTCCGTGTGAGAATCGAACCCACGACCTCCGACGCCGAACCCAATACCTTAGCAACTGGACCACAGAGTCATAGAAGTGTATGATGACTCCGTCCCGTCCTGACACTATAAACTTCTTACGAGTAGCTCATGTGTTAGAAATAAGATAAAACATAGCTTTTACCAATTTATACAATTATACCTCAATAATTGCATAACAATTAATACTTAGCTTTTCCAGCAGAGCAACAGCCTTAACTTCCAATAATCAAAAACGGACTACCGTACGTTGTAAGGGTTGAATTTATATCCCTCAAAAACAAATACCAACCACTCGATACAACCAAAGAAAAATCAAAACAGGTGTCAAACCAACAACTTTTAAATAAATCACAATAAACTGTACTAATAAATTATTGATAAATTATTAATTAGATTTAATATGTACAATAATTATAACACATGTTAACACTTTTTGATGCAGAACATGAACGCTTCTCTCATCAATTTCGGGACCACTTAACAGTGACGTAACTGCATCGAATCAGTACAGGGGGCATCCTTGAACTCGGCAAGGTTCCCTGGTCCGGCCGTGGCCTGCGGCTTGTGGCTAATTGGACCCGCCGCGCTAAATCTCGAGTTTCAATACAGAGTCGATTCGCCTCGCAACGGACATTTGCGAACGTCGGCCATTTTTATAAACGCCAATACATATATTGCATTGGATGTTTGTTCCATTAAAATATATACTGTATTTTGCATAACAATTATTCAAAATTTACGTGTTATGGAACTTTTCGAAATTATCTCTGTATATATAAAAATGGATTGCTGTTCGTTAATCTCGCTAAAACTCGAGAACGGCTGGACCGATTTGGCTAATTTTGGTTTTGAAATATTTGTCGCAGTCCAGGGAAGGTTTAAACGACGACAAATTATGGAAAAATTGCATGGAAAATCGAAATAGCAAAAATTTTATTTTCCCATAAAAACTGTACCTGTCAACTATGTCTGTGTAATCTGTTAAACACTTTATGCGTGCGTTCCGAAAATTCTCTTTCTATGCGTTCAGATTGACAAAATCCCTAGAAATAATTTATATGGCAAAACAACGTTTGCCGAGTCAGCTAGTCTCTCATAAAAAGAATATTGACTGATCTGCCTTTTTTGGATCGAAATTAATTATAAATTAATGAATGAATAAATTTTCTCCAGAGTCGAGACTCGAAAAAGCATGTTTTTATTTAATTAAAAAATAGAAAACGGCGTTTATTTTTTATTTGTCTAAATTTCTGTCCGAGTCGTTACTTTTTATTTATTTTCTTTGTTCACCGTTATTATCAAAGCATGATGCCACATACTATAAGAAATAAATCCAAATAGGTTTTTTATTAACGGCGATACAAATAATAAAGGAAACAGCAACTTCAAATAACTTTACGGAAAATATTTAAAAGTAACATGAAAACTGGTGATTACACTAATTATTGAGCTGCTGCGACCTTGCTTGACCTTGGCCGCGCTCAAAGGTCTAATGACCGCGGCCAATACACTAATCTAGTCATCGTCCCACCAGTCTGTGTAGAAAGATTTATATTCTATAAAAATTACGTCATTCTCAACCACGATTATCGATGGTGTAATTTGTAATAAATGAACTTTAAATTTAACCGAATCGAATGGAACTCATATGTAGCATTTGACCCCTCTCAAATGTTCCTCTTTCGCAATAAAATTTTAAAATCTATGGGTCCATTGCCACCTATCAAGAGTAAAGCAAAAATGTTATTTTTAAATTAGAACTAGCTTTGTCCAGACTGGTTACTAGGTCAAGCGTTAAATATATAATGTTACTAGTGATGATATTTGGTACATTGTTGGCAATAGGCTGCTGGCTTATAATTTCTTAGTAATATAATTTACTATCCATACCAACGCTGAAATATTGGATAGGTGTTAGTTATAATTGTAAGTTGTTGTGATCTGTATAAGTTATGATGGGGTTGGCGTATCTTTATAGATAAAAACCCCATAAAAATAAAGATAATAAAAAAAAAAGTTAGTTATAATTAACTATTACATTTAGTCCCGTGACCTCGACATAGATCTTACAAGCTACGTAGATTGTATTCATATACAGTTTGTGCAAATGACTCATGCTTGTCCCGTGGCTATTGCTGGTTTCATGTTTATAATATTTTGTTAAAAATAATGATAGTGAACTGTATAAAAAAATAATCTTAGCAGTTGAAATTACTGTTAGTTTATAAGTACATGAGAAATTGGAGTAAACCTAAATTTAATAAAGAAATTTCACTTCGAGACGTATCGCAAGTCAAGTGAAAGGTGCTATGGCATTAGGTTGTGCGAATATTTAGCGAGATAATTAATTTGTTCACATCTTTCGAATCTAATGCCGTTGATGAATCTTCATCTATCTTCGGGGTGGGTCTATCCCGTTAACATGCGCAGTCGCTTCCTTGTACTAAAAGTAGTTCGGGCATAGTGATAGCTGTCCAGGCGCTCGCTTCTAGTTCAATATACTCGAGCAACCCGAGTTCAATTCCCGGTGACGGCACCAATGAAATCGTTAATTTTAAGAGCTGACCTATCACCTGCTCGACGGTGAGGGGAAAAATCGAAACATTGTGAGGAAACCCTCTTTTCGAAATAATAACAAAAAAATCCGCAGTGGGGTCGCATGGTGGACCGGGAAGACAGGGAAGATTTGCCCAGTAGTGTGACGTATAGGCTGCCTTTACGTAACATTTAGTTTTAAGCAGCGCCTATCGACGTTTTACACTCGTCCGCTCCACTGTTCTCATACATCGTAAATCGCTGACGGTCCAATTCGTCGCACAGGCACCAAGAAGATGGAGTACAAGACCAGGCAGTGGCACGAGAAGTGCTTCTGCTGCGTCGTGTGCAAGAACCCCATCGGCACCAAGAGCTTCATCCCGCGCGAGCAGGAAATCTACTGCGCCGGCTGCTACGAGGATAAGTTCGCCACTCGCTGCGTCAAGTGTAACAAGGTGAGTTGTTACGATGCGTTCGCCACGATTATGATCGATTATTTACTCAAACTCTCTTGACACATTTACGCTCGGTTTCTTAAACACTGATCATTGTAGAAGTCAACTAATCAGCTGTCAAATGGATTTTCAAATGTTATTTGAGTTGCCAAAAGGATGGTTAAACTCTTTGAATTGATCATTCTGATCAATTCAGAGAGTTTAATCATCTTTTTGGCAAATGAAATGAAAGCCATTTGACAGCTGATTAGTTGACATCTACGATGATCAGTGTTTCAGAAACCGGCCGTAAGTGTATAAAGGTGAATTGCTACGATACGCGTATATAAATAGTTCAACCTTTTCTTTTTCGGGGGGAAAAATCTTTTATGGATCCCACGCCGCCTTGTGGGTAGGCAGCGGGGGTATGTGGGAGTTCCCGAGTAACACGGTGGTACACACTAAAATGCCCGCGTTGCACCTGCGCTGTCACTTTTGGCCGGGGACACGGGAACACGAAAACGCAATCTTCCGCGAACCCCGGCGCGACTGTGGCCTTCTCATACCTCCCCTCTCCGGGCGTTTGGACACCCGGTCCAGAAACATTGCACCGCAATGAACGGCACTCAAGCTCCCCGCGGGGTAGCAGCTCCCACAGCTGCCGCCCCGGGGAGCGCAAATAACCTAACCTAACCTCCGTCGCGGCAGATCATCACGCAGGGCGGCGTGACGTACAAGAACGAGCCGTGGCACCGCGAGTGCTTCACGTGCACGCACTGCGACACCTCGCTGGCGGGGCAGCGCTTCACGTCGCGCGACGACAAGCCCTACTGCGCCGAGTGCTTCGGCGAGCTGTTCGCCAAGCGGTGCACCTCGTGCGCCAAGCCCATCACCGGTGAGTGCGGCTGCAAGGGTTCGCGCTTTGGTCGTATACTGAGCTGGCCGGAGTACAGCTGCGAGGGTTTGCGTTGCCAGCCTGAGCTCGCGAAGGTCTTGTCTTTAAGAGTAGCAACTGTCAAGTTTCTTGCCGGTCTCTTCTCAGCAGTGTTTTTTTTTTTGTGAATAGTTGCCAAACGAGCAGACGGTTCACCTGATGGTAAGTGAATACCGCAGCCCGTGAACATCTACACCCGAGGGTTACAGATTTAAAATTTTCTAGAGGTTACAGCGTTGATAACCTCTAGAAAATTGGGCTCCGGCTACCTCGCTCACGCGACGAAACGCGAAAGTATTTTCCACACTTCCACTTTACGCTGGTCTTCTGTGTGGTCGTGGTGTGCCTTCCGAACCGGCGGTAACACACTTACGAACTTTGTATCAATTACTATGTAAAATCCGACGTTTTACAAGAACGCGCAAGCGACTAATCGAATAAAGGTATTTTGAATTTGAATTCGTCCAGTTTACGACGTGGATTTGTGAAGTTTCAATATTCTATGTGATTTGGTTACGTGAGATAGAATTTTGTGGTAACAATCATCGAGCTAATACCAAATCTGGTAGTGTCATTCCCCCGTCGATCCTTACAAAGGCTTGTCGATGTAATTGAAAATGTTGTTCCCAATCTGCGCAGGCATCGGCGGCACCCGCTTCATCTCGTTCGAGGACCGGCACTGGCACAACGACTGCTTCATCTGCGCGCAGTGCAAGACCTCGCTGGTCGGCAAGGGCTTCATCACCGACGGCCAGGACATCATCTGCCCCGAGTGCGCCAAGCAGAAGCTGATGTAAATACGCGAACGCACACGCACACGGCGCGCATCTGCCCTGGACCCGCAACGCTTAACCACCGCTGGCCCGGAACGACGATCGTTAATACAATTGTATCACTCGTACAACGCAATCCCATTCTATCTACATAAACACTATGCTAACGTTGCGAAAATACTGAACTATCACACTCCATCGAAGTATTTACCATGTTAAAAACGCTCTCAAAGCCACCAGAATGCGGGACGGTACAGTTTGCGCGGCCCATAACGCTTCAAAACAACAAGTACTAACACCGCAGAAACGCTACGAAACCGTTAAAAAAAAAAACGATATTTTGGCGGGACTGCACGCGAGTCGCCACAGATTAAAAATAGCTCGTGCTTTTGCCGCGCTTGCAAATATCACAGATTATATTTGCCCTCACTAGAAGTGTTTGCACCTGGAAAATTATCGCTTGCTGTGCTTGTGAGTTAATCTTGTTATAGTAGTTGTGTGTAGTTTCCGGTAGGGTTCGGTAGCTTCCGTGCAGTCCGCACAGCTTTCAGCCTCGTGTGGTACCGCTGCCAACTTCACACGCTCACGATGTTTCTGTGCTTGTGCAGCGACGATACGATACTACCGCTAGTCGCTAAAGCGAGGGATTGGTGCGCATTCAGAGATCAAGGGGGGCCCGGCAGCACCATTTCCGACAAGCGAGCTCGACCCTAAATAACCAGTGCGCGATATTTTTCTAAGAAAACGAGAACACGAAAATCACAAAAAAACGAAAAAAAAAAACACACTGTGGATGCACAAATAAAGAGTATATAATTTCGCTTTTCTGTTTTTTTTCTTCTTCATCTCTTACACCGGATCTTTGTTGGAGTTGTTTATATATTTTGGTTTCTTAACCGTTGTTACTAATTTCGGAAGATCCAGGGGCTTTTTCATAGTTTTATTTCGCAGAGAACGCTAACCGCCGTATTATATCGCTTTGGCTGTTGTCTTAGAGGTTTAGGTATTTTTTAATATCGTCGATTCGTCTAGTGCAATTCACACGTTGCCTTAATAACATATCTAAGTCAATTTCGAGAATATATATTTTGTTTAGTGTTCATCTTAAATGGTAAACGAAGAGATTTACAACACGGACTAGCTGTCGCGTGGTCTATTTTCATGTTTATTGCCAGTTACGCGACCCCAGCAGCAATCGATGATGGGGGTTGTGGCGTTGATTATGCGTAACGTTGTAACTTTAAGGAGTTTTAAACATAGTATGTCTATATTTAAGTATTTATTTTTTATGAGAAACGCACTTATTACGCGAGGGGAGGCCGGCGGTGTTGCCATGCGAGATCGCATCGAGTCCCTTAGAGTTGCCATAATTCCCGTCGGCCGTTTGCTTCCTAACACTAAACCGTTAAACGACGTTACGTCATCTAGTTCTTACTAATCAAATAATTAAAAAAAAAACTATTTTTGCTCTCGAATAAGAGAACGTTACAATAATGTAATTGAATGTTATCGATATTTTTACATTATAATAATATTTTCTAGTGTTAGCGTTAAGTGAGTAACATCTGTGTTTTGAGACGACCACGACACGTTTGGGGAACACTTTATAAGGGTTATTTGTTAAGGGTTAAATTATTCAAATGTTGATGAAAGTATATTTATAATAATGTGTAAACATAAAAAAAAACCGCTTAGCTGTGTGATCTGATCTAATTAATCTTTGTATCTACCCATAGATTGTATAAACTATGAAAATGAAATAAAACTATTAAAATTAACTTAATTGTGAGTTGTTATTGAATGTACACCTTGAACCAATTATATCCTCAATTATTTTATAATAAGTTTCACCCGAATAACATAAAAGCTTGAAAGTACTAGCCTATATAAATATATAATAAACTATGGCTTTCCCGAATGCTGTATATTTTTATATGACAAAACACACGGACACAAAATGTGATGCAGTGCTCTAAAGATTACGTGGCAGCAACGCAATAAAAAAAACAATGCTTAGTCAATGAAATATCAAACACCGATACTCATAACAATATATTACATTTGTGCAAGACGTGCAAATCACTTATATTTAAAAACCTATTGTTCCAAAGCAAAGCGATATGCTTTCATGAAAAACAAAAATCACTTACAAACTATTCAAGTATATTAGGATTAAAAAAATAGTTATACAATTGAAAGTTATTTCCCTATCACTATATCATATTTTTTGAAGACGTAACAACAGGAATATAGATAATTTCTACTAAAAAATAGATGAGTAATAATTTTACAAAGAGAATTTTTATTGAGCAATCACAGTATAATATACTGCGATCTTACAATTGGCGCCGCAAAAATAATTGCTTTGATGTAAAAAAATAAATAATATTAGTAGGTACATAGCACAGTTTCAAAATAATGCAAATACCTTACAAGATCTATCAATTAATACTATGAAATTATTTCGTTAACAGGTATTAGAATTTACATTCTTAAAGCATTATTTTAAGTATTAAAAATATTATTTTCTTTAATTAAAATATTTTCGGGCATCGACCAATGACAAAATGGTCGACGCCGAATTATAACGAAGAAAGAATTTACCTGTCATAAAATAAATAATACATTAAAATAATTTTGTTACAAAAATAGCTAATAAAAATATTAGTGATTTAGGAATCGACATTGTGATTAATTTAATGTCGTTTCTTTACTTATAGGTAAAGTTTTAATACTAAAATATTTTGTTTTTGTTATTTTAACTATTTATGTAATAGTTAACATCTTACAATAAATCTTTACTTACAGAGAAACTCAATTGTGTTTTAATTGCTGTGTCATCGAAATCACTGAAAAATATTATCTTATATGCATGTATACATTTCTGGGTTAAACTTTCTGTTCCTCGCTACAGAATACTTAAACAAAATGTTTTGTTGTATAGAATAAATTGGTAAAATGCAAATATTTATTTATTTTATAATAATGTTTTTATTATAGTCATCAAGCAAAATACCATATTCGTTGCGAGTCTAATTTAGACTTAAAATCAATATTTAGGTTTTCATTATGCAAATGTACACATATCACAATCATACAAATGTTTAAGCTGTTAAATGTAAGTCTCCCATGTCATAAACAAACAACACAAATGATGGTAAATTAATTTTTGATTCGCCTCGTAACTTGACGTTCTACTAGATGTTCTAAGCCGGTGACCTTGTTTTTCACATAAAAGTCATATTAAAAATATCGTAAGTACAAAAAACACAGCGGATTCTTTCTAGTTTCGGACATCTTTAATGATGGCGTGATACAATGAAATAGAAATAAATTAAGTTTCATCACGTGGTCTATTTTATTACCTATCATCTACATTCTAATGTGCAGTTTTAGTTACCTAATTAACTTATCTTTTTGGTATTGCTTTTAAAATCTTTATGATACACGGAATTCAAATTAGCGAAACATTAAAAGCATTGTTTATATTAAACAGATATAAGTTATTACGATTTTAAAACGCATTCCTTTTAAAGATAAATGTTAATCTACGCCAAAATACAAGGATATTTGTCTACATCACTGTTTGGCAGAGTTCATATCGGAACTCTCATACTCTAACTAGGGATGTCGAAAATATATTGATATATCGATATCTGTAGACGATATATTTAGATCCGATATATCGATACAAAATATTCAACATTAAAAACCGTATCCGATATTTTTGGAATCCAAATTCGGCACAAGGTCCATCGGTGTCAAATATTTAATACATGATATACCTTTCCTTTTGGGACGTGGTTTTTTGGGCCTAAAGAAAAAAATATCGATACATCGACATATATCCCCACTATCGACAACCCTAAATCTAACGGTACTGGTCTCCGTAGTATTATATACCGTATGCCGCTCACCATCAGCCCTCGAACTCGTCCTCGTATCAGTCGGTGCCGAAGTACTTCTGGCCGAAGTGGTTGGGCGCCACCGGGTGCAGCTCCGAGGTGAGGATCTTCATCCTGGGCACGTAGTCCACCACCGCCTGGACAGCCGCCGGCGTGCAGAACAGGTTCGAGAGGATTATGCGCTCCTCCTTAACGCCGTGCTGCCTCAGCACGTTCACGGCCTGGAGTAGCCATTTTTCAAATTGACTTTATTTTTTTTACTAGATTCTCGCCCGCGGTTTCGCACTCGTTGAAGGCCTTAAATAAATATCTTTCAACCCTTTTCAACACTTTTTTCCATTTAAAAAATATGCCTATGTTCTTTCTCAACCTCTAGACTCTAGACTATCTGTGTACCAAATTTCATTGAAATCGGTTCAGTAGTTTTGGAGTGAAAGCGAGACAGATAGAAAGACAGAGTTAGTTTCGCATTCATAATATTAGTATGGATTTGAAAAAAAAAAAGCATTTCTTTGACTCTAGTATAACATTAACACCGATTATACTCGTGTATCAAAATTATCATTATTTATAGCTACATACTCTAGCTAGTCGTCAATTGTTTTTTTTTTTTCAAATTTAAATACGCACTCGTAAATATCTATGTCATGAACGAAACCAACCAACATTCAACGGGGATATTGGGGAATTCCCCAAGAAGATTCGAGAGATATTCTTATGTGATATTATTTAGTCTTTGGCTGGCCAACAAGATTTATAATTTTCGTATGAGAGGGTGGAAAGCTAGCTGGCGGTTCTACAACAATGTGTGGTTCTCACACACCAGACGAATTGCTAGAATATAAATATCAATACTACGCGCTGGTCTCCTGTGATGCTGAGGTGTGCCCATTCGTGCAACAGCAGAGGTCGAATGACCCCACATAGGGTATATTTTCTTTTTTTTTTTACTTTTTTTTCTCTCAATTTTTTATTATGGTTTTTAATAGAACTTTTGTTGAACTGTATTTTTTTGCCCATTATATTGCATGATATCCACGCCTATGATTGTAACGGCGCCACTGAACAGTTAATGTATATTTAAGTCATAAATAATATACACTGACGCCCGGTTTCTGAAACAATGATCATAGTAGATGTCAACTAATCAGCTGTCAAATAGATTTTCAAATGTCATTTGAGTGGCCAAAAGGGCGGTTAAACTCTTTGAATTGATCATTCTGATCATTAAGAAGATCATTCTGATCAATTCGAAGAGTTTAACCATCCCTTTGGCAACTAAAGTGAAATGTGAAAAGCCATTTGACAGCTGATTAGTTGACATCTACGATGATCAGTGTTTCAGAATCCGGGCGTAAGCTGGCGTTCATTAAATAAATAGGCGGGCAACAGCCAGTGCCGACCGACCTGTTTGACGGTGTTGCCCGTGGACATGATGGGGTACATGAGCAGCACCTGGCGGCGAGCTATGTCCTCCGGGAACTTGGCGTACACCACGTGCGCCTCGTGCGTGTCCGTGTCGCTCTCCACGAGGATCTTGCCGATGCGGATGGAGCGGCAGCAGTCGCGCAGGCCCTGGGGGGAGAGGGCGTGGGGCGATCTCGAAATTCGCTCCGTGGGTACATTAACGGCCGGCCTCTGAAACACTGTTCATCGTAGAAGCCAACTAATCAGCTGTCAAACGGATTTTGAAATGTTATTTAAGTTGCCAAAAGGATTGTTCAACTCTTTGAATTGATCAAAATGCTCTTGGCAATCCTTTTCCTCATTTGACAGCCGTTTAGTTGACTTCTACGATGAACAGTGTTTCAGAAACCGTGCGTGAGTCTTGTGAAGCGTTTGGGAGTCGAAAATTCGAGGGGCATTTATAACAGTATTATCGGATGATAATGAAGGTTACAGCAGGAACATGTTGCATTATCATCTAGTAGGAAAATCTCTAAGTCTTAGACACCGGCCTTTCTTAAAGCTGATTAAGCCATTTGAGGTTTTTATTGAAGATGTTTTTTGGGGTAAAAATAAGTGTCTATGAAAGTTTTGAGCCATCTCCTTAGCAATTCATAGTCCAAAAAATAAGCTATTATCAATTAATCAGTGTTTATCATCATCACCCTCCTGCCATTATACCTTGGTGGGGTCGCACATCATGTGAACATCATGTGTGGATTTGGTTTTTACGACCAGCCGCCTGCCAGACCCACAACAATTATCTGTGGTGCACACAAACACTTGTCCCATGTGGGAATCGAACCTACAGCCCCGGCGCCAAAGCCAATAACTCAACAACTGCGCCACCGAGTCATCCATTCATAAGTATTTGTATTTTTATATTATCTTGTATTGTAATATTTGTAAAATACCTGCTCCATAGCTTCTCCTGACCTCACAATTGAGACCCCGCAATTACCAGCACCATATTTGAGGCCCTTATAAAGAGCCCCAGTGGGTGTGACCACTTCACAATCCGTGAATGGTAGATTGTTCAGACTCTCTTCAATAACAAGGCGAATAAGACGGTCCGCATAAAATTTAAAGTCACTTCGAGATGTGTTCCTTAAAAAAAAGGAGAAATGTAATTATTGTAAAATTATCTTTTTTACTCCAATATAATTGCCTCTCACCCTCACACTTTTGAGTATTTGTACCTCTGAAACAATAAAGTTGAAATACAAACTTTAGTAGATTGCAACTTTAATGACTTCAGATAATCTAAATTTAATTTTTGTGAGACACTGGCACTTTCTTTTGTAGGACTTTAATATCAATATAAAATGACCCATAACTGGTTGAAAGTTCAGTTGAGCTACTTAGCGTGAAATTATAATCACTGCAGTAGGGCCACTCAACAGCTTCTGATTTTGCAAGAATGGGCAAGCCCATCCAAGTTAGTACCACAGCCTCACAAAAAACCGGTGTGAAGTGGAGGTTATCACATTTTTGCATTTCTTCAAGTGAGTGGGGTAAGATATGTTTGTGTGAAGTGGTAAACTTTCCAGAAAATGTACCAGCGTGTTTTGCAGGAGGCCCCAGTGCCCATCCCGGTTTAGTGGATATGAACCATGGAAACCAAAGATTGTCCACTACAGTACTATAATTCCTGCTTATTTATTAATGCTAATAATAACATATTACTTCAGCTGTAAATTTAACCTACAGGATATACTATTGGTCTCTATGATGTTAATATTCATTATAAAAAATAAGGAAGACAATGGGAGAACTAATTTTCCAATTTGTAACTGTCCAACCGTTTTCAGTGTGTCATATTGAATTTTATTTTATAAAAAAGAAAGAAGAATGTTATAAGATAAGCTGCAAATTCATATCATTTAGAAGACTAATTGAAATTAGAATCTTCACAAATTAAGTACTCTTTGTTGTTAAAACAAAGCAGTTCATTATTTTTATGTCATTTTTCATCAATAATCTGCAAATTATTATGCATAATCTTTAATAATTTATGTTACCCTTTAAATTGATGCAATGTTTCTCTTATTCCCTTAATAGTCAAGCGTTTAATAGTCAGTCATGTATCTTATCATATCCCCAAAAACTTTATTTACAAAAAGTAACAAAACAAGTTATCAAAATCGCGTATTAATTTTTGTAAACAAAGCCATCACACGTACGTATAACCTTACTTGTCCCTTAAAATAGTTTGCAGCTCCTTGATGTTGTCATTAGACGGCAGGAGACTGAGACTATCACCAAACTGTTCCCGCACATCTTCGGAATTCCATGGTCTGATATCGGTGTCGATCAGTTCCATTTTAGAAAATTTATTTGCACGTAAATTTGTACTGAATAACCAATGCAAATTCACAAAATTTTACTTTTTAATGTCAAATTGTCAGTTAGTTGACAAATGTCAAATTGAAACACGAACCAGCTGACATTTCGTTTGGAAAAAATAGATACCATAAATAAGAATATAAATTCTTTATGGGGTGTTTTTTTTTGGAAGTGTAGTATGCTGTGTAGTAGCTTGGCAGCTATGACAGCTTCGTTTGAAGAGATACCGTAGGAAAACGACCCCGGGACTTAGGAGAAACAACATAACTGGTGTACGACGACGACATAATGAACGACGGTACGGTTCAAGACCATTTTTCAAATTTTACTCTGATGGCGAATTGTAATATAAAGACTGGAGTTTGACATTGTTGCTGACTCTATATGCTTTTTTCATTAACATTATTAATGAACTTTTATTTTTAAAGGTCTCAGCTCGGGAGGGTCTACAGATTGTTTTCAGTAGACGATCGGTTCAAGACCATTTTTTAGATTTTACTCTGATAATATAAATTACATTGTTCCTTTTTTCATTAACTTAGTAGTAGGCCAGCAATCTTTCAAATCGTTATTGATAGCTTATTTTTATTTATTGTCATTTATTTCATGCAAAAAGCAGCGATATGTAATTAGTTTGACCATCCGATGGCTGATATTCGTGCTATTGTCATCTACTATGCATAAGAGTAATTGAAACATCAATGCTGCGCCCTCTACATGTTTAATCTACGGTGATAAGTAAAAATATAGGAGGTTCTTATAATGCGCCAGTTACGGCAACTTATCAGATAAATGAAACAAACACACGGATATAATGCGTAACGCTTTATTTGCCCAGAAAATACAAATCAATGAATGCAAGAATATCTCAACTTCTCGTTCGACAGCTGGTGCAAACCAGCGGTTGCATGTCACAACAGCAAAACGTTCATCGCAAAAATATATTATCCAAAATATCGCCCTTCCATATCCGGAACTGTGACCGCTACCACACTTCTACTGAATAACAACAGTGTCAAGTAAATGCAAGAATTGAATCGTACGGGGTACATAAATAAATGCTAACCGTCAACGTAGCTACGATCACAATTCTGTTAGGTACTATTTTAATAGATATTCATTTTTACTTAAGCGCACGCCGCTCAAGTCGGGTTGGATGCATGTTGTTACTTAATTAGTGTTCCGTTGCAAACGATAGAAATGCGAAAAACAAATAAAAAGGACCTTAAACATTTGGCAAAGTACTCAGGGTTCCTATAAATTAATATCTACTATCCAAACGATTTGAATAACAAATCATCTGAGAACATATAGACGTAACAATACAAGTCGTAAATTGAAGTGATAAAACCTCGTGCACACGATCAAATATTTCTTGGACGAAATATTTTTGGGCCAAACAGGTTTCATAAAAAGTTTATACAGGGTTGCTATTCTATCAGATAGTCGAGCGGCTTAAAACTCATAAAATAATCTCACAGTCCAAAAATGTGTATAAAATCAATATGGACTACGTTATTAAAGGGATTTAATAAAAATATTGTTTATGTTGATGTATCCCTCGATCCGTGCCGTCTGGATTTTACATCAACAGTCACTCACTCACTATCATTGGAATTAAGCTGAGTTTTATCACCTATATGTAGGACCCTGGATTAAACCGACACAAAATCGAACTAGTGTTAAAATAGCCTCAACGTATTTGTTAGATCTATTTTGTCCAAGAAAAATTCGTTCGTATCAGAGAAGTATAAGCGAAAACATAAATATCGAACAATAAATTACAGTAGGAAAGTAAACACGGCCGCGCTTTCGAAGCGCAGCGTAAAATTTATCCGAATAACAAAAAAAAAAACATCAAAATATAATATTTAGGATTTCGATACCTATATCATACAAATACGTAAACATTAATAAAATGGCGAAATAAGTTGTGTGGTAAAATACTGCATTGAAGCGATTCGTATAAAAACTTCAGAACCCTACGCGGGATTAGTCTGTTTTTGGCAAACGTGAACCTTAACCGATGAGTTTTCCCCAACCGAGTGAGATAAGCCCGTCGAGCCTCCATGAAATTATACTAGTCCAACTTATAAATTATAATTCGAAAGTCGACGCAAGTTAGGCTCTAGGCTCGCGCCCTAATGTAACCTAAAAGTAACGAATTCTCTATGGTCAGAATTCTCTATGGTGATAGACGAAATTGACCTGACCTAAAACTATTCTTAAATCCGCTTACCTTCACTTTAAACCACTTCGGTGGTCGTCAACGGAACAAACTTTCTATGCGATCTAAAATCTGTGTTATAAGTTAATCACCCGATCATATGGGTTTACATTAAATTTGAAACGTCATCTATAACTCTGTTAATATTTAAGATAGAAGCTTTGTGTACTTTCATTTATGGCGGTAACAAACTTAACAATATAATTTGAACCCTTAACTGTAGTCTGATTTATAATAACGGAACAATACTCGGACACGATTTGTTGATAACCTTATATCGCTAAATGTACTGTGCCATTGTTATTTTTTTTATACCGGCACAAAAATATATAATTTCTGAACTCGCAACTGACAATATACAATATCTTCTGTACATTTTCGCGTCGAAAACAATCTCGCGTGCGTTTGAACTCCACCTTACGCCCCTATTTTTCTTCTAAAATTTGTACTATACGAATCATCGGCACCGTTGAGCTATATTTACAAAACTGCACTCGCAAATTGCGGAGAAATTTCTAAGGAGCTTTAAGTCGAACATCAAACTTATCAATCTGTGTTACGTCATTGCGGACGTAAGCGCGCACTTTAAACATGTCCTAAATTAAAAATCGTTGCTACAATTTGAGACTTGTTTGACAAGCGTCGTGAATTGGTGAGAAAACGTACTCGGAAATGAGCTACACCCTTCTGCCCTTTGAGGTCGCGAGGGTTGATGGTTACAATGTCAGAACGCATCAGATGGAGCTAAATCAACTTCTACAAGCTTGCCGGGAACAAACAGGCGAATGTCATAAACTTTACAACTTTGTACATACCGATATATCTAAAATTTTATAAATAAATTATTAGAAAAAGCAAATCTCCCCCCTTCTTTATGTAATAAATACTAATGTATAAAACATAACTAACATGTTATTTTCCAGTTGCGTGGGCCATCGTACTCGAAAGATTAGAAAAACAATAATTAATGTGTATAAAAAGTGGCCGTCGAAAGGCTTTAAATTGGTTGGCACTACGGTAGCATGTAGGTATTAAGCATTTGCGTAATTGAATAGTTTCCATGTTTACTAGAATAGTTGTCATAGTTATTAGTTATTAAAATTTAATACGAGGTAAATAATAATACCTTCTTGCTACCCTAGCTGGAGGAATTTGGAACCGTTATTTTCTGGTAACAGGTGAACACTTTCGTAAGTATTACCCCATATGAGACAGTGCTTGCCTTACCTTTACCCTCCATAGTTAGAATTAAATTTAAGCAGTTAAATTTCAAACAATATTAAGAAAACAACGTTCCGAGTTACATAATAAAGTTCTGAAATTTTTTATGAAATTTAAAAACACTTAAATATAGAATTTGCACAGGATATTTTTGGGGTACTAAATACTTACGGGATTGTCTTCTAAGACAATTCTTACTAATTTGTACCTAATTTTGTATTGAACTTATTTTAGTTTCGAAAATTAAAATCGAGCACAGCAACCCACGAGGCAAAAGCGTGCGACGCTAAAAGACGCCATATTGGCTGCGTCGCTTTAGTAAAGCTGGGGCCACGCCGTGCGGAAGTAACCGTATAGTGGAATGTAACGCGCGAGCGTGGCTCGACCTTAACTCTGCCAAAGTGCTGACACTTTTCACTGCTACAAGTAAACTTTGCGATGTTCACATTTGATAAATCGTTTGATGCAGTCAAAATAAAGTTAACATATCGGTTCGATTTGAGCAAAAGCCGCCACCACCTCTACCATGATACGACATGTTAAATTAACAAAGAGCGAGTGATTATCGGCTAACCGTAATTAATTAACAAAAATCTGCGGCAACGAAGTTACGTTCTTTAGATATCCTAATTACCGGTTAATTAAGATGATTAAGCGTAAGTTTGTAATTTATCAAATAAAAGCGGACATGGGAAACAAATGTATACAACTTTAGTCAGGACGAACGCACTAGACCAATCCATGGTTGGGTATACGGCACTTCTTAAGTGCCAGCACGGGGACATATTTAACCGATGTGATAATTCTATTGATTACCGCAACCGGATCCGAGGTAACTGAATTAGAAGTATACATTGAAGTACATTGTTTACGCACTAGATTAACAACAGCGATACGGGCCGCCCCCGATTTTCGTTGTGACCATCGCCACGAGGTAGGCGTTGAATCACAGCGTCACTTGCTATGTGCAGTTCATCGTGGCGTCTGATCGGGGAAGGACGTCGCTCCGGCTGGACGTGTACGGTGTCGCGATTAGTGGACGACGCCGTTCCTCTGCCTGGGGTAGCCGTTGTGGTGCGACTTGGGCGCGAGCGGCTCCTCGGGCGCGGGCTCGACCTTCGCCTTCTTGCCCAGCCGCGGCGAGAGGTACGCCTTGTAGAAGAAGTGGGCGAACAGCACGAAGTACGAGAAGTACATCGCCATGGACAGCTTGATGTTGATCCGGCTGATGTGGCACGAGTGCGGCGCGGCGGTGGTCATGTAGTTGTGGGCCCACAGGTTGATTGCGCAGCCCACTATCATCTGGCTGAGCTGCAGGAAGGTGATCGTCATGGCGAGCATCCGGGGCGGGTACTTGCCCATGCTCACGAGCGCGTAGTAGGAGTACATCACGCTGGAAGAGAGAGAGTCGACGTTACAATTTTCATTGATAAAAAAAAAACCGCCGAAGTGCAAGTCGGACTCGTGCATGAAGGGATCCCTACCATTATCTAGTATGTAATTGTATTTGTATGAGCGCCCATACAACTCAGACGACTATCATAATTGGCGTCAACTATATATATATGTATGGGGACACCCTTTAATTTTTAACTTTTTTTATTTTTTTGAAATTTTTCTTTATTTGTGCCATGAGACCTTGCTTTTTGCCAAAGTTCGCGATTCTAGGTCAACGGGCACTACCATATTTTGTTTTATTTTTGTTAAAAGCAAGGTCTAACAGCACAAGTAAAGGTAAAATTCCGAGAAACAAAAATAGTTGAAAGTTAAGGTCAATTTTGGTACTCACAAGTTTTCCCCAAAAACTAGCCGATGGATTGACTTAGTATTGTTCGCAACATAGCGATTTAACAGGAGAGTGTTTTTTATGTACCTTTTATTCTAAAAAAAAGCCATAGCGAAGCGCGGCCTGATTCATACATTAACACTAAACGAAAATATATTGCTTTAGGGGCATTTGTCAATGTTATATGAACTTGCTGTGACAGTACTTTACACTGGACGGAAAGAATTCTGGTCGGTATATGAAAGCTCGATTACGCCTCTGAACATCGTCCGAGTCACTGCGCAGAACGACGTGCTGAAAGAGTATTTCCTCTATTTCGCGTTGCAGTATAAATCGAGTTCTATCTCGCTCCCACGCTGCTAGACATTCACAAGTTTTTGAATATAAGTATATTACAGCGTCTTCGCTTTTGCACGAATTCGCAGATACGTCCGGGGAAGTACCATGACCTCACGGAAGACCAGCGTGAAGTTGAAGTGTTGCACTTCTGCGTTTCGTCCGGAGTGAGGTAGCCGGGGCCCACTTAATTTAAAGGGGGCAACGCATTTTATGTGAAAAGATGCCAAACGAGCAGACGGTTCACCTGATGTTAAGTGAATACCGCCGCCCATAGGCATCTGCTACACCCGAGGGTTCGCAGATGAGTTGACAACGTTTTTGGAAATTGAGCTCCGGCGTAACTCACCAGACGTAACGCGAAAGTATTTGTCATACTTCCCAACTTCAGCATCCGTTCAGTTGTAAAAAAGTATTGTTTAATAAAAACGTAGCAGAAACATTTTATAATGATGACTCTGACTGTAAATAATGAATTTTTTTCTTCATTTTTTAAATCTCATGAAGTATCTTTTCCGTTTCTTTTCCGTTCCCTTTTCGTTTTGAAGTTAAAGTCAAGAGAATAAAAAAAACATGTTAAATAATCTTTCGTTGAAAGATTATTTAACATGTATTTTTTATTATCTTTTAAATTATATATCTTAGTGATATTTTTTATTTAAAATTCTATAAATATACTAGCAGACTAGACAGATGTTTCCGGTACACACGTCTTAAATCAGACATCAAATTATAAATAAAAAAATAATTTAAAAAAAAAACATTTTGTACTGGACCTAGAGCCGTGATAGCTCAGTGTCCGGGCGCTCGCCTTTAATTCTATATACTCGAGCAACCTGAGTTCGATCCCCGGTGCCGGCACCAATGAAGTTTTTAACTTTAAGTGTTTCTTATCACGTGCTCTGCGGTGAAGGAAAACATCGTGAGGAAACCAGGATATTTTCGAAATAATAACAAAAAAAATATTTCGAAGATATGTGAAGTCCGCCAATCCGCAGTGGGGCCGGGTGGTGGACTATGCCCTGATACCCTCTGTATAGAGGAGGCCTTTGCCCAGCAGTGGGACATGTATAGGCTGATACTTTGCTTTTTACTTTACTGGACCTAAATGTGAATCTTAACCATTATCGAATCCACTTAACCGCACACAAAAATCACATCAAAATCGTTCAAGAGGATTTCAGTCACATAGACAGAAAAAATATATAATATATATAAAGATGTCTATGTAAGTAAAAATTTCTCCTATTTATTAAGTGGCTTAACTACCAAGAAGCAAGCTATCAAATAAACAGTTAAGGACCAAATCACGATGAATGCAAAAAACAATTACTAGTTCAAAATTTTCTTCAGGTCTATCATCCAACTTGAAACAGTCGATATAAAATTTGATATACCGTTATACACAAGTACCACAACCTCCGTACCATATTTACGAATATAAATTAAACTATTCGTAATGCGTTCGCAGCGATCGCCCATTGAGCGTTACTTTCAAGGCAAATGTGCCGAAAGCTATTTCTGGTGTCGACGATGCGCCTACAATCGCCCTAAATACACTACACTAGCGTAAAGGCCCATTTACATGATGCCAGTTTCTTGCCGGTTGTATACAATTAAATTGAAGCAATAAATGAGTTGCATGGTCTAAACAACAAATGGTCTAAACAATTATTGCGCACAATTTATTGCATTCAATTATTGCTCTTGTATGTACAAGAAAATGGCATCGTGTAAATGGGCCTTTACACTCAGCCCGTACGTGCAATTCTATGGACGGATGTGGGAGAGGACTGGTGCGAAAATCGGTTAAGCGAATCGTAAATATCAATTGTGACACGTCACCAGACTGTTACGCGTATTGTGTTTTGTAAAGTCGTTGTAAAGTCAAATGATTGGTGGTGTTTGTCGTTGCCATGTTCTTTTGTCTGTGGAAACGTTCCTTCGATTTGTTGTTCTCTTAAATCGGTATTTATTTGATAAAATCCATCAAGCCGTTCAGGTTGCAGAGCGTGTCGAACAATTATACATACATAAGTACATGCTCTCGAAAAACATAACCCTCCTTCTGACGCAGTCGGGTGAAAATTAAAAATAATACCGATTGTGAGGTGTCGTTAGATTCGTATTTACTGACACTGGGTAAATCAAAATAAAAAAATACCCAGAAACAGTCGTTTTTTTTTTAGTTTTTTTTAATTATATTCTAATCGTTTAGTTAGTATAATCTTTCAGGCCTATTATCTTTTCGGCCAGTAGTATCGTCGCCATAGATTCCCCACCCGCACAGTGAATACACTATTTATTGAACCATGAGCAATATTTTATTCCGTAACTATTATTTTTTTGGAACATTGTTCTGTGTTGTTATAGCGTATTAATCGCTGTTTGTCCTCGTAAAATTAAATTCATGTGGACAAAAACTACTTGTTCCGGGTGGGGATCGAACCTACGACCACCTGCGCTTAAGCCAATATCTTGGTAACTGCGACACGTAGTGATCGCCGTTAAGTTGTTTTTACCAATTACATTTCTTATAACATATCTTGTTGTATTAAGCTCACCTTATACGACAACGATATATATCTTGATTATAATATAAAAGTAAAATACAATCATGGTCTATAAAAGATATTATAGGGATCATCTGGGTACATTTTCGAAAGCATTCCATGACTATCAATAGTATCCTACAGCCCATCACTACACACACACTAGGTAAGGAATGAATGGCGCGTCGACGAAACTCGCGCGCTGCGCGCCGCTAAGCGGCGTTACCTCTCCTCCGCTTCCTCATACTTCACCACCCAAATTGTAAAAAATTCACTGCATACCTTAACTATAAAAACGAAAAAAAAAATCCTTTCTGTTGTATGGGAGCCCACTTAAATATTTTTCATACTGTTTTTTTCGTATTTGTTGTTATAGCGGCCGCAGAAATACATAATCTGTGAAAATTTCAACTGTCTAACAGTGTCTCTATCACGGTTCATGAGATATGGACTGTCTTGTGGGTCTTAGTAATAGGGTCCGCTTTACCCTTTGGGTACGGAACCCTAATAATTGAATTTCATTCGATATCGATAGCATTGTAAGATAAGATAATATCAAAAAGAGAGCATACTCTTTCTTAAAAGGCCGGCAACGCATCTGTGAGCCCTCGGGTGTTGCAGGTGTTCATGGGCGGTGGTGATCACTTACCATCAGGTGAGCCTCCTGCTCGGTTGCCCCTTTTCTCCATAAAAAAAAATAAAAAAAAACATCACAAAATGTCACCTGTGCACGCAGTAGTTCATCACGACGAACCAACGGGCAGAGGACGTGTACTCGGTGAACGAGAACCAGGTGTAGAGCAGCACCGTGATGTGGTGGTACCAGTGGAGGAAGATGAGGGGCTTCTTGCGCAGCACTATGAACACGGTGTCACCCAGCTCCGGCACCTTGGACAGCACGAACATGGTCGTCCAGAAACCGGACACCTTGTCCTGCTCGATGAAACTGGAATTGAGAAAGCGATATATTAATAAAGATACGGTAGCAAAGGCTTTCTTTCGTCCAATTCACAAAGTACAATTGTTGCTATTTGTAAATTTATTTGAAGTTTTCTAGCAGTTTCTGTATCGTTACTTTTAGAGGTCTTGTTCCTGTTTATTGTGACATGTCATATTTGACTTTTAAATGGTACTCGATAGCATTATACGAAGTACCAGTTTGCTAAATATACCAAGTGAGTATCCGGTTTATATTCAAAAATAATTGTCAATAAGGTTGCTGGTCGTATGAGGAAGCTTAAAGTCGATCGTATGAGGAAGCTATGGAGCGTGCTATCCTCGGTATTTCGGTATAAAATATCCGCAGTAGAACAAAAGTAACCAACATAGACACGAAAGTTAGTAAGCTGAAGAGGCAATGAGCCAGCTAAATAGCTCGAAGAATCAATAACCGATGGGGAGGAAAGGTTTTTAAGTGGCAGCCTCGTATTGGCCATCTTATTGCAAAACGACCCTGCACCGGATGGAGTGACGACCAGTGCAAATGTATGGGAAGTCGATGGATGGAGGTGGCTTAAATCTTTCGGATCTTACCGTCATATTTGAGGAATAAAATAACAAACTCTCGAATGTCCGCTAGGGTAACAAGCCTGTCACCATACGTAATGTTTGGATTTATAAAAATACACCCAAAACTTGTATTGGGTATAAGGGAGAATTGTAAACGAGATTTAAAGTCACCGAAGGTTATGATACTATATCCTGAATACAACACGAACGAGGATATAGTGTTTAATGATGTTTATAGACTTAAAATATATTTGAATCATGTAACAGGTCCAACGATTGCACTAATGGCGATTGCGGACATCCTTAATATATTTTGAATTATACAATTCGCGATTTTAATTAATCAATTTACATGATATTCGTACTTTAAACTTGTATAAAGTTCTATAATAATGGTTTGGTTTCCGCTAGAATTCCTTCATAAGCTTAAACATCGTAAAAGGAGTTGATTAATAAAAAATGTTTTTTGTTATCTATATTATATATATATATATATATAATTAGTTATTCTAATTAAACAATTTTTTTACATTAAATTTAAGCCTATCAATTCTTGTAGCATTTATCTATCTTGTTTTGAATTTTGTTTAAATTATTAGAAGCATAAATAAATCTATATTACATATATTAACGAGTTGCGATCATCGCGATCTCATTGCGATCTGGCAACACTGGCCTGGTGAACATGTCAAAATTATAGCTCCGTATATTTAAAGTTTAAAATTAAGTTAAATTTATTATTTAATTATCTTTTTACTTTAGTAAAATTATTTACGTGTGTCATCATCTATCATCTCTTGCGAATAGGTTAAGCTCCGCTGTTTTTGCAATTAGGAAGGTTAGGCAGCTATCAGACATCGACACTGCCAGACTTGTTTACTACAGTTATTTTCACAGCATCTTGTCGTACGGCATTTTGTTGTGGGGTAGTGCATCTGATATAAATTCAATATTTATTATTCAAAAAAGAGCTGTCCGAGCAATTTATAACATCGGAGCCCGGAATACACTCAGAGATCTTTTTAAAGAGATTAATATACTCACTGTTGCGTCTCAATATATTTATTGTAATATATTGTATGTTAAACAGAATATTAATAATTATCAAAAGAATAGTGACAGACATAAACTAAATACTAGAAATAAGGACAAACTAACTACGTCATTATTTCGCCAACAAAAAGTAAACAGATCGTTCATGGGGCAAAGTGTGCGCATGTATAATAAAATTCCACAGTCGATGTTAAGTCTGCCACTTGATGAATTTAAACGAAAAATTAAAAGTACACTTATGGCTAAAGCCTATTATACTATTGCCGAATATCTTGACGACGCCAATGTGTGGGGTTAATACTGTTGATACTCACGTAGGCTAAAACAAGACTATTGTACCTGTACTATTATATTGTAAACTGATTTTTTAAAAAAGAGCAACTGTTGACTTTCTTGCCGGTTTCTTCTCAACAGAAACTGATTTCTGAAGCGGTGGTAACTTACGAACGTGTTAATTTCTTGTAAAATTTTGACGTTTCATAAGAACGCGCAAGCGTCTATGTGAATAAAGATATTTCATTATTATTATTATTATTATTATGTTTCATTTATTAATTTTATTTTATTGGAAATTTTGGCTAGCAAGCTGGTGGTTTGGTGCGTTGCCACTGTTTAGAAAATTGGGCCCCGTTAATCACCAGACCAAACGCGGTATTATTTGTATTTGTATATCTGATGTTACGCTTTCAGTCCTTAGACTAATAAAGCTTCATCGATCGCAGAACCGGTGGGCTAGCCAGAGCCCACGGGTTTGAGGCCGTCCTCAGTGGGTAGGGCCGCGCATGTACTCGTGCGTGCGTTAATTATGGCATGTCGCCTAAGGGCCATCGAGGTAAACGCTGTAGTATAACACTTCTACTTCAGGCCGGTCTTCTGTGAGGTTCTCGTACCTGCCCATTCGTGCAACAGCGAAGAATGTTGCATGGCCCTACCATAATTGAAGAGTCGTACATCCCCGAACGGACCTGCCCATTCGTGCAACAGCAAAGATCCTGCCTGTGGCCCTACCACAGTTGAGCATTGGTACTGCTACACCTAGATTTGTTATCAAGACGCCAGTGGGTGTGGGTTCGATCCCCAGTTTTCCAGTGTCTGGGTGTTTATTATATGTATATGTATTTACAAAGAGAAAATTATGTTTTAGCATGTTTATCACTTATTTAGAATCCACTGTACAAGTAATCCTTAAGTTGGGACTAAAGAACGTTGTGTAAAAATGTGTTCTAAAATATTTATTCATTTATTTAAGAGTAATGTCCAAAAATCGCGCCTGAATAATACAAAGTAAAAACGAAAGTTACAATGGATGGGACTTTTTCAATTCTTAGTTCAGAAAAGGCGTCGTTTTAAAGACAAAAGTTCGACGTTACTCAGAAGTATTCCTTTTCATAATACTTTACTTTTATTGTTTTTACAGAATTTTTAAAGAAACTTCGTTAGCAATGAAAATTCATTTTAAGTCTGATCCGAGAATATAAATATAATTTTAACAAAACCTGAGCTAGTGGATATTGCAAATATAGTAAAATTTTGCGTAGTTGATATTTGAAGGTTAAACCAGTATACAACTAGTATACAACCAGTGTATTTGAGCTCAAACAGGAAGACTTTTTTCCATATAATATGAGCAGAAGTTATGCCGAATGTCACAATTCGTGTTCTGGAAACTGCCACTAGTACCAAATCGTTTCCTTATGTATATATTATCCATAAATAGTTGAAACTGCTTATGTAACATCTGTCGCCATGAATTAATATTATGTATTATGGAGCTATTTGTAAACAAATATATTTTTTAATGTTGTTTATAAAAAAAAAAAAAAAATTTTGTTTCATACTTCGAAGAAAAGGAAGAATTAATAATCAAAATATACAGCTGTAAGAGTTGTATAGTATTCTAAACATATAATAATATATTCTAAACATATAATAGATACAATACAAACCTACATGTCATCTATTATCTTCTATCAATTTAAGATCGTAAGATTGAATATATTGTGGAAGTGTTAAACTTCTGCTTACGTCTGGTGAGTGAGGTAGCCGGGGCCCATTTTAATAAGTCACGTAGGGTTGCATATGCGTTGCCGCATATGCAACCCTACGTGACTTGAAGGGTAAAAGCCGGATAGTTGCCTAGAAGGGATACATGCCCCGGTATTTAATACACTATGTTAGGAATATAAGTTGTGTTATCGCTTTACTACAATAAGTAGTGACCCCCCGTAGGCCTGAACTAAGTTGGGATTAAAGCACAAATTTAACAATGAAAGTAAAATGGCTGGACCGCAATAGTTAAAAAGCTTAGAAAGAAATCCTGAAATAGCTTTGAGACAAGCTAAGGGTTTATCAATTGAAAGAGCGAATGGTCTCAACAGAACAGAAGTTGCAAATTTTTTCAGACTCTTAACAACTATTTTAACTAAGAACAAGTTAATTTTACTGACGAAAAACAAAACAGACTTCAAACATCTCGTTCTGTGTTCATTTTATAATTGATTTTCAGGATTTCCCGACGTATCTCCGGAGCCCAAGATCCAATACCAATGGAATTAATATGGGACCACATGGGAACCTTTCAAATTAAAAAAAAAAGAATCATCAAATTCGGTTCACTCATTCGAAAGTTCTGAGGTAACAAACATAAAAAAAAGAACATACAGTCAAATTGAGAATCTCATCCGATTTTCAAGTCGGTTGATAATTTGATAGATAAGCCAGATAGATAGAATATTTAACATAAATGAAACCGATGTCCAAGTCAACGGTACAAGAAAGACGCTAAAGCAGTTACTTCTAAAAATAGGCTATTATTGAAGATAAAAGACATGTGTTTTGAGATACATACTGAATAATTTTCAGCAAGTTCATATTTTTAAGAAATAAAGCTTTTTCGAAAAGTAGGGCAACTATCCGGCTTTTATCCAAAACTCAGTGCTACTTACCCATGAAAGTGGGCAATTTGGATACATAATTTTTTCTTAATCTTAAAAGTACAATACCTATTATTTATTATTCAACCGTTTTAGACCCGTTTACATTTTACCTAGAGAATCCCTTTATTGTGTACGTACATTATCCTAAGTCCTAAGCTATAACTTACTATACTTAAACGCGCATTATCTACAAAATTGCGTGTAGTCTCGCTAATGTTTCTTTTCCATTGTTGTCTGAACGAAAATAGACAATATTATATGTCCATGTAACATGAAACCGTTGCGTGTATGAAACAAACAGATTTACTTGTTTATCGACAGTATGGCGTTCGTAGCAACAGTAAAAAGTAAAATCTTCCCATTTTAATGATTTACTTCAAACTGTATTAAAGGATAAGTATATTCAAATAGAATCTTCATTTTACTAGCTATTATTTTGATTTAAAAA